GGGGGGGGGGGGTGTCTTTTCCAACAAACTAAAAATGGCTCGCGCACAAAATTTAAAAGTTTTAATCATATTTTGAGTTAACAGATGGAAACTTTGTTTGGTTTTTAATTACTGTACAAAATTTCAGACAATTTGGTTAATTTAAGCCGTTTAACTATTCATTTTATTCTAAAAAATCAGCCTTTCGCATGCTTAATTAATGCCTTTACCTAATTTGCATATTACTAATATATGCAAATTAGGCAATGGCATTAATATATTAAGCGTGCAAATAGCTGATTTTTAGTAAAAATGTAACTTTGTGTGAATAGTTAAACGGCTTAAACTAAACCAAATTGTCTGAAATTTTGTACAGTAATTAAAAGCCAAAGACACACCCCCCTGGTTCACAATATTTGAGTTCAAGAAATTTTTTTCATCATTCTACATTCTAAGTACCCAAAGAAGCTATATCTATAAAAAAAACAGATAGAAATAGGTGTTTTGCGAAATTGAGAGCAATTTCAAATCTGTTCAGTTTTTTTTATACACCCTGTATAATCTCGTACATTAATGCTAGGGCATTGCTGGGCAACATAGTTATTTCAATTAGAAATATCTTACTGCACTGGTTTTCTTGTTTCATGTTCTTTTGAATAGGGACAAGCACTTTCAGTAAGCTCAGTAAACTGCATGTTGTTTTTGTGACCTTGTAAAATACTGTGCAATGAGATTGTCAATGTGGGGTCGGGTTGCTATAAATCGGCAATTTACCCCGCTGCATTTACAGCAAAAAATGTCAGCAAATATTGGCTTCCAATTTATCGCGAATAAGCCATGTCTTGTGGCCGAATTACGGGTCACTGCTGAAGCCATCTCAACAAATGCGGGTTGGGGACGGACTGCTTACAGCTGCGTATGTAATGTTCTCTTAATTTGCATGTTTTCTTTTGGTTTTTAAAAGGTCCAGAAAGGGATCCAGAATGGGGTCCAGAAGGGATCCAGAGGGGGGGGATCCACGTTTTGTCAATCCCCAGTGGATAGACTCTATAAAAAATGAAGCCAATAGACAAATTTGGCTAACGCCAATTTACAGCTTTGGATAACTCACATGCCTAGTTACTATTGTTCTAGTTTACAGAAGCATTTTGTAATCTAGAACAATAGTAACTAGGCATGTGGGTTGTATAAAGTTGTGAATTGGGTATACCGTATAAACAAACGTTACCCAAATTTGTCTAATCGAGCGAAACTTGGGTCAGTACACGTATTTTTATAAAAATAGCAACCCTTCGGCTAAACAGGATTCTGATTATCATATTGAGCGAGATCAAAATTAGGGGAGTTTCTGCAAAACCATATTACCTAAACATCGTGCAGAGACACTTATGTACGTTTTCTACTCACATTGGTCGTTGAGACATGCACCTCCCGCCGTGGGAGCGAGCGGCAGATCAAAGTCATAATCAGGAGATTATGGTATTGTGTCAATGTTTCTGACGAAGTTCTTATTATATTACCAATATATATTTAATAACATCAGAAGATATCAGGGTCGTAGGCACCAGCAGAATCGTTGTAACTGTATGTCTACTGTATATTGTGTAATTAGTACAAGTGTGTAAGTGTAATTAGTACAAGTGTAAGTTAAGTGTAAATGTAAAGCAATTCGAATTCGGGAATGTTCTGTACACGATCGCTTGTATATATTGTAATTATATTCTCACAAAATTGTATATATTCTTGTGAACAAGTTAACAAAGTTTACTGGATAATAAATCAGCTTATTTTAACTCTTCAATTATTGTCGCTGATCAGCGAACACGCGAACATATGACGCGAATGTAAACAAGCAGCTAAAAATAGACCCATGCCAATTTGGAGATTTATAACTTTTCAGAAAATTGCTTGCAGACGAGTTTTATTCCTGATTACTTAACTTTAGTAGGTATACTTTCAAATTACATGCCTTACTGGGATTTAAAGTGAATGCGTAATGAGGTCGACACGTTTCACTTGGGTCTATACTTTTGGGTTATTTTGTCTCTTCAATTGCTGTTTCTTGGCAGATTTTTACGGGTTAAAATGTGAAGAATCAAGTGGAGCCGGACAGTGTGGCCTCACCGGAATAGCTGATCCTACGGTTCAAAGCGAGAAATTGGGAAATTATTACAACAGTGGGACCAGTCAGGCGAATTATTTACCCAATGTCGAACTGTATACCTGCCTATGGTTTGGAAGCCTCGGCAATGCAGATTTTGTGATACAATATGCGATATCTGCTGTTGAGGCGGGTTTTACCAACAACTTTGTGTCTGTGAGTGGTGGTTTTCCACCAAATGATATATTTATAACTTCTAAGCCTTTATTGAGAAAGTTTGACCCATGTATTATTAGATTAATATTATGCACAAATGGAACAAAGCACATTATACGTTT